ATATATATATATATAAGAAAAAGGTGGTCCGCTTCTTCATTATGCTGTAGCTCCTGCTTGTCATAGATATCAAGAATAATGCTGCGACATTTTATTTACATGAAATAAGAGCTGATTTCATAAACTAACTTCAAAAAAATGGCATTGAGAGAAGCAAGAATTAAATCTATTAACCATCCTCTAATAAACATTTTTTATTCAGATACTAAAAATAAATAAAACCATCTTCTAGTAAATTAAAATACCTTACAGAAAAACAAAGAATTCAAAAACCATACAGGGAGCTTTTATTCAGGAACCAACGATTGTCCAGGTAGATAATAGTAGGAACTTTTCACCTCAGAACTGGAAGCAGAACAACAGACGCACTCTCTAAGCAAGAGAATATAAACTTTCACCCAACTCAGAAAATTATGTCCTCATCCTTCTGCACAGCAGCCGACAAGAAGTTGTGAGCTGAATTAATCGAAATTCCTTTCTGCAGAGACACCTTCTCTGCAAACTGCTCCTCTGCGAATTTCCTGGAAGCTGCTTGCTGTCTCTCAATTTCCCTCTTCTTATAACCCTGTATCTTCTTTAACCTAAAGAAATCTTCTCTTTCCAGCTCATCCAACTCTGCCTTGATATAGTTTATGGTATTCTCCAACCTTGGTTTCACAACGTTCTCCAAAGCATTAACACGACGATTTGTGGTCTTGATTGCTTCATCCAGCGTTAAGAACGAAGTTTGAAGTGAAGCAAGCTCAACAAGAACCTCGACTGCTTTCACATAAGCAGCACGGCATTGTTGGATCTGTTGTCCACCTCTGGCCAGTCCCGTGAGGTCGTTCTTGGTCTCACCCTCAGTAAAATACTCAAACTTGGGGAGCTTAACACCAGCAATGTTCTCTTGCCTTGATCGAACTTTAAGGGATGCATTTTGGACATTCTCGAGGACAATGTGCTTGATGTTCTCACCGGCGACATATTTGGCTTCAGTTAGGGCAAATGATGAGGTTTTCATGACATCTCCCATCGATTCTTTTGTTGACACTATCTTTTTCAGAATTTGACGGAACTGCACGGTTAAAGCATCACTCTTTTTCTTGAGCAGAGCATGACCTCTTGTTGCACCCACAAGACGGGCTTTCACAACACCAAGCATTGTGACAGTAGGAACTACATTCAAGCGCTGGCTTTGCCCAGACATCTTTTCAAAAATCTAAGCCAAGAAAATTACACACAAGACTGTAAGAGAGAGAACAAGAAATTAAATGACAAGGATTAAGGAAGAAGATGGTGATCCATTATTTTCCATCAAGGAATCATAGTAAAAATACCACGCACTTTACTCA